CTGGCATCTTGTGCGAATTTCGAATCTGAAATCTCTCGCCGAAATTAGTTCCGAGTTTCTTCCGGGCGGTGTTTCATTTATATCTCATAAAAATTTTTAGAAATCTCTTTCTGAAGAGTATAAAAAAAAAAAAGCTTAAAAATTATATAAACTTAATTTTTTAAACTTTTTACGAATTGTCTTTGGAGATTTTTTACACACAGCCATCGCATCGCTTAAATTTTACTTCGACGATACATCATCCGAGTCTTTGTAACTGTGAGTGTATCATGTGATCGCGCATCTGCTCGCATTTACCATTGCCGCTCTCCTTCCTTCGTAATCGATTTGTTAGCGGAGTTAGCATGGACAAAAACCTTAGGACGATTCACCCTTTTCTCTACTCGTTCGTTTCCTCGTTCCTTGTTCCGCCGCCAGGCGTCACCTCGCCACGGGGTGGTTCTTCCGATCAAGGGTTGAGACGGGGCTACTTCACACGAGCAGCAAAACGAATATCTGCGAAAAGACCGTTCGAACGAGTTATTGCTCTGGGAGCCTTTTTGTTTGACGGACGCGTTAAAAGGACATTAAAATTGAAAACGGATATTTAATCGATCGTATTAATCGTGTCAAATAATTCTTCCTCTTTCAATAAAATTCTTGACACGTCAAATCTACATATATTGACATTTTTACATTCATTTTCTAACCGCGAGACATTCTAAAGGCTTGATCAATGAAATTCATCGTCCGATCGAGGGAGAAATTCCCGGCTTCGTTATTCCTATCGCGAGCCGAAAAATGTCAAGAGACACATGAAACGTGGGGAGAAATATCGGCCGGCGGCGTTTCCACCACCTGACGACCACCTTCGTCGGCACATTTCCACGCACTCCCCCGCCATCCGCGACGAAGAAGGCGGACGATCCAAAGCAGGCAGGATCAGGCCCAGAAGACAAATGTCTTCCTACGCAAAGGCGTATACATCCTATCGGAGTAGTCGATCGGCTCGATTCGCAGAGCGCGGAGTCGGACAACTGGCCGTCAGAGTTGCAAGTATACGTGCAACAACTCGTACACGGTACGAGTACATCCGTCTGTACGCCTGTTGGTCGGCACTTGAAGTCCAGCTGCCGATCGGGAATCAAGGGGGAATCGGGATCGGGATTGAGATCTAAAACGCTACGTATTGTAACGCGTACGTACGTTGCGTTACATACGCACGTACGCACGCACGTACATTACCGCGCGCGTACGACACGCACCCATACGGGCAGACACACACACACACACACACACACACACACACACACACACACACACACACACACACACACACACACACACACACACACACGTACGTGTACGCGTATGCGTACCTGACAATCCGCCCACCTTATAACCGAGCGCGGAGGCTCGATTCTCACCTGTTTTTATCCTTACGTACGCCGGCCGCTTCATTTGTAATTTAAAGTGAGCCTCGATTGCCCAATGCGCTCTACGTACTTATTTTCGGAACTCCGGAGGAACACACTCGCGCGTAGCGGACGTACGGAGTGAGTCTCCCTCCTTTCTCCACCCGCATACAAGCCGAGCCGAAATTCTTACTGCCACGGCGGCAGCCTGCCGCGAACAGAAGTTCGATCACGATCGTGCCCGGCCACTTTTCGTGCCGGAGACCCTCGTGTCGGAAGTGCGTTACTTTCGTCCCATTCCTGCCTTCCGTGCCGGTTCAGCGTCCGATAAACTGGATATTCTTACCTTTAACTTTTGCGAAATTTTCGAATGTCTAAGATTAACTCCTATTTATTACGAAAATGTTTGCCGGATCGTCAATTTTATCTATTATGCATCTTTTTTACATTATTTTGTTAAACTTACAACAATTATTTTATTTTCTTTTTTATTGTTCATGATGAATTTTATATAATAAGAAAGGAAATGTATCGTATTATGCCTGAATAAATTTTTGAAACACAATTTAATTAAACCAACGGATCGCATTAGGAAATATATATCGTAATAATCAATCTCATATCAGTTATACTGAGATGGTCGTCGTAGTACATCTCTTTAAATGAACGGGAGACATTTTTGGACGATCCGTGGCGTCACGACAGAGAGAAAATTGCCGCATGCGTGGCGTCGCACGTGCGATGAGGATCACTCGATTTTTCCACCATCGCCGGGCAGCCGACCCATTGGCTAACTTTTTTCGCGGGACGATCCACCCTCGCGCGTTGGAAGAGACGCGGATAGGATGGACACGACGCGGGTATGGGTGGAGGGACGCGACCGGACGCGTCGTGACGCGACGCTCTTTTCTTTGCTCCTTTCTTGCCGACGCTGCTCTTCCAACCGAGGGTGGAAAGCGAGGCGGAAGGTTGAAAGGGTGGACGCGCGTTGTTGCGTCGTCTCGGACGGCCAGCGGGAATCTCTCGCGCTCGGATGCTAGAGGCAGGTTGAGGAAAAAAAGGTCGCGCCTCCCCACTTTCCGGACTCATACTTCCACGTGTACACCACGTGGAAAAAAGGACGAGGCTAGCGTAAAAAAGCGGCGCGTGGGGGTTGCCCGGTTGGTGGGGAGCGCGAGTCGAGGCGACCGAGAAAGGGAGAGAAAGAAGGGAGAGAAAAGGATGTGGGAAAGGGTGTCGGGTGCCGTACGCGCGAGACTCTGCTACGAAACGGTGGTGAGAGAGGGATAGACGAAGGAG